AAAAAAAAAAATCTAAAAAAATATTTGTGTATATTTTGTAAAATGTTTGTACAAAATGTTTTACTTTAAATTTATTTACATAATTTAAATTAATTACATTAATAAATAATATTAAAATATATTAAATATTTTAATTACATAAAACAAAAAGAAGAAGAAGACTACATCTATAACATGTAGTATAATAATAATGATATTATATTACAATAAATTTTATAATAAAATAATATGAGTTATACGAGGAATAAGATTACGTAAAATTGTTATTTTTCTTATACCAAAGAATAAATATATGCAATGAAATCACATTTATATTATTATAAACATGTGAGCTAGATAATATTTTAATTAATTTACGGGTTAGCGCTACCAAATTCAGGTTTAATGTCCCGACAAAAAAAATGAAGTTGATGACAAGAGATAAAAAAATAGATAATCAAACTCTATCATTTTTTTAAGTATGAACGGACAAGCCATATAGTCCACTCATTTAATATCTCCCGTGCACGAGCTACTTAACGAACAAGCTCTGTGAAAATTACTCGTTTAATACTTATGTCTCGTGCATTGCACGGGCTACATAGTGACATGGCTAGTATTGTGATATGGGGTTTTGTTTGGATGGTCATTTTTTGTTAATGCTCGTTTTTCTTTTGTACATTTTTCTTGCATTTCTCCAAATCATTTTTGAAGTGAAGTAACATTTTATTAAAAAAAATCCCTTTGTTACTTTTAGACACTAGTTTGATATTTCAGTAATATTTTTATTTTAGAATTTTATTTTTTTATTTTTTATTCAATTTATAATGAAAAAAAATCATAATATTATTATCTCTTGCATGTTAATTTTACTGCAAAAGAACAAATAAATAATAGAAATATCAACTTCCAAAAATAACAAACACGCACTTTAGAATGGTGGGTGCATAAACAAAATTTAGACCTATTTTGAATTTTAAACAGTGAGTGGGCCTTTCTGTAACTAACCTAAACTTGAGGGTAGTTTTTGAAATTAGCCACATAATATATGACGACTATTTACAAATGTCCATACAAATTGCAAACAGAAACAGAAAGTAGAAACCATTACATATGTATACACAAATTTCTGATCTTCTTTTCTGCTATATAACTTGAAAACTGAACTACGTAATATGTTACAAGACATCACACAATGAAAAACATCGAATTCGAAAAGTTCGACAAAACGTAACACGAAATTATTGCGGTGTTTCTGAGATTTTGAAACACGAATTTTCGCTTTCTATAAAGAACTATACGCGGGATTCTTTTCATCTTCGATTTTTCGGGAGATTTTTTTTCGCATCATTCAAGGGTAAGTGTTGTGCCTCTCGTAAATTTCGTCAAGATGAGCTGCCGGGACGTAAACAACATCATGCAACGAGCTGTGTTTACGGCCGTAAAAAATGTAGACGAGTGCCCCCACGGCCAGCCAAACTGAGACACGTGCCCATGTGGCACCACTGCATATTTAAGACGCGTTTTAACTAAATAAAAATACGTATTTTTGCAGATGTGAGATGCGACTTCCTTTTACTGGAGCTGCAAACGAGCCGCTCGAGTCAATACTTGACTCGAGTTCGGTCAAACTCAAGCTCGAGCAGTTCAACCGAGCCTCGAGCATCATTTCAAACTCTCGACTTTTGATTTACATAAATACCCCATAAAGTTTCATTATAGACAAATTATATTAAAAATAGTATATTTATATTTAAAATTTAGTTGTTAAAATTTCAAGTCGAACTCGAGCCACGTCGAGCATCGAGTCGATCTCGAGCATTATTATTTTCTTCACAAGTCGATCTCGAGCATTCTTATTTTCTTCACGAGTCGAGTCGAGCAGCATTTCACATGGCTCTCGAGTCGAACTCGAGCCACATCAAGCATCGAGTCGATCTCGAGCATTCTTATTTTCTTCACGGATCGAGTCGAGCAGCATTTCACATGGCTCTCCAGCTCGAGCAGTGAAGAAAAAAGTTCAATCTACACGTGACAAGGTCCATGCTCGACTCGACTCATTTGCAGCCGTATCTTTAATGACGGCCTTGGAGACTTTTAATTGTCTCGGTTTTGTAAGGGTGGCCCACAAATGAACAAAATAGACATAGGTAAGATAAACTCTCACCCGAGGTTTATTAACAAGTAGACGTTGATCAAAATGCAGGCAATAGGCAACAGGGGAACAAACGGGCAAATGAAGCCTGAAAGGAAAGAAATAACGAGAAAACTCGAATCAAGACAAAATTGTGGTTGTGCAAATGTATAAACGAGTTAAATGGGTCGAAGAGTTAAATACCTCCCGTGTGCCCGAATTTGTGCCTTGCATCGTCTTGGTCAATCCAGGTCAGCAAAACCAATCCAGAGAGAAGGGAAATGCCACCAATTCCACAAAGTGTGAACCGAACAGGACTGGTGAAAAATCGAGACGTTTGGTTAAGAAAATTGTTGTAACAAATGAAAATCGAGAGTTAAAAAAAGAAAAAAAAAGGAATTACAAACCTATAAAGGGTCAAACTTGATGCGGAAGAAGTCAGAATAAGAACTCCGATGCACGTGATCAAGATAGACCAGCCAGCAATTCTCCTTCTATTTTCCTCGTTCATAAGACCTTACAAGAAAACATAAGGAACCCAGAAAATAAGAGCAAGTACAGAATTCAAGATAATTGATCGACGGTTTTTTTATAAGAAAATCTTGCGATGGAGATCGTGTGTAATGTTATCTACTGTGATGTTAAAGCCTCCATTAACAAATTTCTTAAAATTTTCAGAAATTGTAGCAATTTGAGAAGTTGATAATACGACATTTTATTAAACAGGCCACTACAGCTTTTTAGTCTTTCTTTTCTTTAGTTTTCTGTTTTTCTCCTTCCAAGACTATGTTTAGGTTATGTTTGGCAAAACTAGCTGATAGCTTATAAGCGATTTTCGAGCTTATAGCCTATATTATCTTATGACTTATGACTTATAGCTGAAAAACTAGCTTACATGATACAAATGTTTGGGAAAATTAACTGTAAGCTAGCTGAAATAAAAAATTCAACGAGCTTATTTGAAAAGCTACCCAAAGAAGCTTATGAGATAAACTCGAGCTTTTTGAAAAAGCTCGTCCTACCAAACAAAGTTTATTTGAATACAAAAAGCTTATAAGCTAACCAAATAAGCTATAAGCTACCTTATTTGTCTACCAAACATAGCCTAAGCGTCTAAGACCTATTGTTTTTATAGCCTAATAACATTTCAAAATTAAACGCGTTTATTGGAATTAATCAAATGGCATCTAGAGACTTAACAATTTGCTAATTTTTGCTATGCATTCAATCTATTTATGAAATATTAGCGGTTATATGAACACACCATGAAGCTAGTCCCATCATTTAAAAAAAAAAAAATGTAACCGAACAATGATAAAATTTCCACAAAATACGACCATTAAAATCAGTAAAATGCTGCTGAAATGGATTGTATTCAGCTATTTATTTAAGCATCAGAAAACGAACTTACTGTTTAGCTGCCCAGCTGCTTTTTCTATAAGTGGATCCTCAATCCTCGTTTTTTTACCGGCTAAAACCGGCACAGGCTCCACGTCAGCATCTCCGGGACTATTGCTCATACTATGCCGCATATAAACCGAATCTATAGCTTCTTGAAAAGACGGTGGAAGAGGAACCTCGTCAGGTGGAACGTATCTCAGTATAAGCACAGAAATTGCCACCATCGTAAAAGCCAAAAGTGTGCCGACACTAACCTGAAAGTAGTAAAATTTCAGCTGTTAAAAGTAACAATTTTTTATCTTCTGCCATTAAAAGAGTACCACGAGAGCAATGGGATTAAACTTGAAAAAAAAAATTAATAATAAAAGAAAAGGGAGAGAGTGAGTAGTATTTACCATTCCCGATAACTGTTCGACATCCATAAAAAATGCCAAAATTGCTGCCAGTACACCGGTCACTATAGTGCTCTTCATTGGGACTTGAGTTTTTTTGTTGACATCAGAAAAGAATGATGGGAGTAATCCATCTCTGGCCATTGCCATAAGTATCCGTGGCTGAGAAAGATTTTTCGGTAATTCACAAAATTATTCGAGAAATAAATATGGTTAATCTCCAAGCATGTTAAATGTTCAAATTACATGTGTATGCACAAATCTTGAGTAAATGAATCAAGTTGATTTATATATAAGGCCTAGCTGAAACAAATTAACTAGATAAATAACATATGAACAATGTCATTAACAATTTATAAATATTAATATAGGTGAAGTCCCAAAATAGAACTATTTTTTCAGCATAATTTAGTAAGTTCAATAAGAAATACAAAATTTATAGACAAAACAAACTGTCAGTACATAAATTTAATAAAAATAAATAAACAGATCTATAAATCTAGTACCTGTGGAAGGATTGAGCCCATCAATGTTGAACAAAGAGCAAAACATGCTCCTATAGTTATAATATACCTGCATGAAAATAAACCAACTTCAGGAAAATGCTCGAAATAATATAAAGATATCAAATTGTTATGCCTTACAGAGAAAGATCTACTTACGCAGCCCAATGAATTCCATGAGCCGAAAAAGCAGACGAGATAGGAGTGTCCGGGTCCATTTTATAATAAGGCACTAAACCAACAATTACTGCAGAAACTAACATGTAAAGGGTACAACATATAGACAGAGCAAAACCAATACCCATCGGCAGGTCTCGTTGAGGGTTTTTCACCTAATAAATGGAGAAAAAAAAAAAAAAAAATTATTCAACAAGTCAATGTATTATTACATATACAATCTCTCAAAGATGAACAAGTTCAAGCAAGAAAATAACTTGTACCTCTTCAGCTGTACTAGCAACAGAATCGAACCCTATATATGCAAAGAATACAGTCGATGCACCAGCAAGCATTCCATCGGCCCCAAATGGAAAATATCTACAATGCAAATAAAAATTCTTCATATTTCAACGAGAAAAAAAATGATGCTGTAGTTTATAGTGTGCCAATGAGTATCGGTATTCGGTACTAGTCGGTTTAGTAAGCAACTCCTCATTTTCAAATTTTATATATTCTAAGGAACTATCTTTTTAGGGGGGGGGAAAGAAAAAAGATGAAACAATTCAAATGGAATTTAAATACCCTGTGGGGAGTTCATAACCGGGCCACCCAGTCTTGAAGCCTAAATATCCACCAGCTATGATGACGAAAATCATGGCGCATATATTGGCAGCAGTGACTATTCCTTGAACAAATGTGCTCTACACAAAATCATGTGATAAGTAGGTTAAAGATGTAAATTTGGGGGGAAAAAAAAAAAAAAGTGGGTTGGTTATAATGAGACCTCTTTGATCCCCACGCATAAAAGTCCAGTGACCACAAAAACTAAGACAGCCGCACACGGGTCAACTACAACTCCGATCCCAGGGATGGTCTGTCGAGCAAGAATTGAAGGGAGACTACTTGGACCGCCAAAAAGCAAAGCCTGAAGGGTGATAAACCAGGTAACTACCGAAAGTCGGCTTAATATAAGTAAACTGAAAGGATGTAAAAGTTTGAACTTAATATCTAGCATGAGACGTATAGCATATTTCTTTAAAAAAAAAGATTTATCAGCTCATTTGGACTTCGGTTAGCAATTTTTATTTTTATTTTTTTTTGGACTCCAAAAGAGCTGAGAAATGAATAAATTTATAAATGATTGATTGGCATTAAAATCTTGGAAGAATTTATATGTAAGCAAAGTTAAGGACAGTTCCAAGAAGAATCTAGATATGGAAGAAGGTTCATTAATTTTGAAACATCCCGAAAAAGTAAGGAGCTCATTCTATGTGAAACAGGACATCGCAATCTTCCATGTTCAAGTGTAAGTATCATCTTTGAGTAGATAAAATCAAAAAAATAAAAGGATTAAAAGAAACATGGTGATCAGGATTAAAAATACAACCGAAAACAGAAAATTGCTAGAAGACATAGATGAATTACACAAGCTACAAAATGCATATAAACACAGGCTACAAAATGCATTTAAATTCTACTCACTATTTTCTTTTCACAAACTCAGAAGTCAGAAGTCTAATTTGATTAAGTAATGCCCTGATCATTTGATAATTATCACTAAACACTCACAAGATCTTATCAAAAACGAAAATTTTGAAACAAAGAGTTAAATTGTACCCAAAAAGAAAAGGAAACAAAGAGTTAAACATACCAGATTAGGGGATACGCCACGCGCAACTGCTGAACCTCCTATGGTATATTCCAATATCAAGGCCCACCCAATCAACCAAGCAACGCTGTGTAAAACAAGTAAACATATGGGACAAAAACTTCATACTCACCCAGGCCCTAATGAAAATTTGATGCATCAAGGAATGCCAACGCACTCTCGTCGGCATCAAAATCTGAAGGGAATATTATTTACTGATAAATCTTAAACGAGCATTAATAATTTGGATGATATAATGCAAACTCATGGAAAATCACTTTAACTAATTAATATCTGTAATGAAAAATACCCTTCGCCAACACATATGTAAGAATAATGATAAGCGCTTCCAGCTGAAGGGCATCGACTGGCTAGCTCGGCATAGCAGAAAGCAGAAAGAGCAGCTGCAATTCCAGCTATCAGAAAGGAAAAGGTTAAGGCAGGCCCCGAGTGCTCTCTTGCAACAGTACCAACAAGAATGTAAACACCAGCTCCAATTGTTGACCCGACACCTACAAGTTCAAACAAAGTCGATAAAAATATTGACTCGGGCAATGCCATCATCAACTTCATCTCCGTGCGTTTTCAAGAAAGAAAAAAAATTACAGTCAAACCCATATTAAAAATTAAAATTTCACTTAATCCATAAATATCATGAATTCTTGACAAGACCCATATGGCTCAACACGAAGATTACACAATTTTTCAAGCAATAGGGGTAAAAAGGGCTGAACTTGAAACAACATAACTGAATAAAATCCTTCTGCAATAAATAAACGATAATTAACTTCACGAACGCAATTTTGCTATAGAGCAATCGGATGGCTCGGCTTATGGAGCCATCCATAGTTGTTCACAAATAGTATATTGACACGTACAGGAATGCTATGGAGCCATCGGATGGTTCCCTTATGGAACAATCCATAACTTTATGTATTGACACGTGTCCATTGTATATTTATTGCAGGACACGTGTCAGTACACCATTTGTGGATGACTACGGATTGCTCCATAAGTCGAGTCATCTGATAGCTCCATAGCAAAACCGTTGACACGTATACTACAATAAATACACTTTGGACATGTGTCAATACATTAACTGATCGATGGCTCCATAAGAAAACCATCCGATGCTCCATAGAATTTTTGTCACCAACAAACTAAGTCCCATTAAAATTGAAAACATTAAATGGTTACTAAATGTAAATTCTTGGCAATCGGACCACCATCAGATTAAGCAAACAGACAACGACACCACAGAGAGGATATAAACATCGTCCAAACGCTAAAACCAAATACCATATAACAGTAATGAAAGAAACCCAATAAACTTGGACAAAATAAAAGTTCAAAATTTTGTACCTATGGCTATGAGATGAGGTACAGTTAAAGCCTTGGCCAAATGATGATGGCCACTCCCTGATGAAGATGATGATGACTTCTTATGAGCAGAATCAACCTGTTTTCTCCTCACCAAGCTCCTCAAAGCTCCAACACCATTTTTCGCATCAGTAAAACCCATCACACACACACCCACAAAATGTAATTTATTTATTTTTTTCAATTGGGTCTTCCCAAAAATCAATTTTATTCTTGCAAAAGATGGATAAATCAAACAAATTTTCAACACGCGCGTATAAATTAATATGGGTTTCCTTTTGATAAGGTTTCAAAAGCCCATCTCATTCTGCCCAGGATTCCCAAAGGCAGATCAAAACGGAGTCTTGACGACAGGATCGAATTGAAAAAAGCCTTTGGGAAATTGGGTATTATTGGAGCTTTTTTAAGGTTTGTTGTTGCAGAGGTTGATTCAGCTGAGACTCGCTGTGGCAGGGAATGAAAATAGAGAGATTTTGGAGGAATTTATGTTGATTTAGTTTAAGAATTTCAAAGAAAAAAAATAAATAAATAAATGGTGGGTTGTCCAATGAGCAAAAGTTTAATGCAAGTTGAAAAAAAAAAAAAAATTAAAAAAGTGAAAAGATTGGTGGAATTATAATATACTGTCTCTCTCTCACCCTAAATTATTTATTTGTTTGCACACGCTATTTAATGTGGTTGGGGTCCAATTGTTGTTATGATTATTCATTTTATTTTATTTTATTTTATTTTATTAATAATTAATTAGTATTGTATCTAGTGATGCAACGAGTCGAGCCGTGTCGAACAGTTTCTTTATCGAGACGATATTTCTGCTACTGCTACTCAAGCTCAGAGTCGAGCCGTGTCGAACAGTTCCTTTATCGAGAAGATATTTTTTGCTACTGCTACTCAAGCTCAGCTCGACAATATTGTACAAATACATGAGACTATATATATGAATGAACTCTAATTTCAAGACGATTTAAGCAATTGTAATATATATTCAATGTCTCGTCGAGTAAATCGGACTTATAGAGTACATGTTTGAGCTCAACTTGGAATTCGCTTCAAGCTCGAGTTAAGCTTTGACTCGAGCCGCTCAAGGTCGTTTGCAGCCAGAACATAAGGAATAAATAAAAAAACAATTAATTGACTTTATTTTATAAAACAACGTATTAAGAAACAAAACTCAAATATTAGAGTGGCTAATGCACGCTTACTTGTCCATTTAACCTTATTGCATGAACATCATCGTGAGTACGATCATTATGTGACCACATGTTTTCCCTTAAAATAAATTAAACACAATTTTTAAGTTTGAGACACTCTAATGAATCGACTTGTCATACTTTTTTAACAAAAATAAAAACTTATATTGTTAAATATCATACTTTCTAAAGTCGTATTATAACGTTTGATGTTCGAATACGAATACTTCAATATTTATAAATATATATACGTATATATTTGATCGTTAGCCTTGTCTAACTATATTTTTTTTTTTGTTATTATTATTATTATTATTTTTTTTTTTTGGATGGGTCGTCCAAGCTCTTAGTTAAAGATAATTGTAATTGGGAAAAGATTTTAGGTGGTGTTTGACATTTCAGAAATTTCTGACTTTCAATAAATTTGACCTATCAAACTTTGTTACATTTTGAAAATTCAACTCACATTTGAAATTGAACTAACTAAACAAACTCAATCAAACCATTAAAATAATTCACCATTTTATTTTTACCTTGTAAACACGGATTAAACTATTTTAATATAATTTGGTGACATAAAGGATAATTAAATGACATGTATGTTTAATAGTTAGTTGATTTTTAAAATAATATATGTGATGTTCAACGTAACATAAAATCGTGATAGGTATTATTATGTCAAAATTTTATGTCAAATGATAATAACATGATCCGTTACTTTACACCCTAAATTAATTGCACATATTATCAATACATAACATATTAGTAGTATAGTACATAAATTAAGGCTGCACATTTAATAATTGAGCAACCTAAATATAAGGGCGAGCTTGGTGCGGTTCGGTGAAAAATCGCACGAAACCGAAAACCGAACCGCACGCAACATAGAAAACAAACCGAACTGATTTTTCTTTTTTACAATCAAAAAACCGCACCGCACCAAAATGCACGGTTCGGTTTCGGTTTTCAGTTTTATACCGGTTTTTTCTATACATTTTATGCAATTTGGTGCGGTTCGGTGCAAATCCAAACCGAACATAATAAAACCGAAAATTGAACTTATGAGAAACTATAACCGCACCGCACCACACCCCACCGCAATGTAGGAAAAAAACCGAACCGAATTTTTTTTACATTAAAAAAAACTAAACCGAACAACATCGAATGTACGGTTCGGTTCGATTTTTCAGTTTCAGCTCGGTTTTGCTCACCTCTACCTAAATATAATATTTTCTTCACCTTACCCATCCAAAATTGGCAATATTTTATTATTTTCTCGGTTATTTAATTCTGTATATGCTGATAGCTATGTAGTCCCCATGCTATGAACACTGTCATATTGAAAATTTCGAAACTTTATAATATTTTATCGTCTCATATGAATTGATGGATTTCATTTAAAATTTCGAAACTTTATAATATTTTATCGTCTTATATAAATTGATAGATTTTACCAGATCAATGTATGTATACATATATGTATCTATATATATATTAAAGCAAAGCAGTTGGAAAAATTGTTGTTTTCCTTCCCATTTTCTATTAAATGCTACTCATTAATAGTTTGATCAATTCAATAAATATTGTCAAAAAATTTAAAGTCCTATTGAAATTGTTTATGATAGAAGAATATTATTGGGAATGTTGAATAAGTTGGCAATTGTTTAGAATGTTGTGCTAATTCTATACATATCAATACAACTAATAATGTGATCAAACAAAAATTCATAATAATTAATGTCAAATTATTTATTAATTGTCCTCATTTGACTAATCCATTAAATTTTTAAAACCATCCACTTTGAGTAACATAATTATTTGGATACAAGAAAATTAAAATTATTTTTAACAATGCCTAGAAATGTGCATTGCACATGTCATAATATTAACACATATACCCATATTTATTTATATATAGAAGTTAAGTTGCTTGGAAAAAAAATTACTCCAAAACTACATTTATCATCTAGAAACAAATTTTAACAATTTCTAAGTATGATGTATCATTAAAAAAAATAGTATAATTGTTTGTTCAAGTAAATAATTAAGTTTATACTTAATTGTTCACTGGTACTTACATGCTAACACTTATGGCTTTGAAATAATTTTGTTAAATCCTACGTAGATAATTCAAATAACAAAAAACTAATTATGTGTAGAAAGACTAATTTAAAAAAAAATAATGATCATTATAGATAGTATATGTAACTATACTATAAGGTGGTTATTTATTTTAATTATAATAAAAGAGTATCAATAACTTACCACTCGATAAAAATAACATGCGATATTTTTCAAATATCTAAACTTTTATACAAAATTCATTCACATGGTAATAACAAATTGCAAACTCATACAACTGAATTTCATATTTGTTTATTTTTATTTTATTTTCTAATAAATTATTTTGAAAATAAAAAAATAAAGATAGAGAGGGAAAAAAAGAAGTTATATTTGTCATAAATAAAGTAGTTTATTCTAAAAAAAATAAAAATTTTAAAATAAAATAAAATAAAAAAGCATCATCTACAGGTATTAAGGACAAACCTGCATGTCCATGTAAAATATATATCGAAAATACAGAATAAACCTTATATGGAAAAAAATATTAATTTAGATTCTTTTTTTACAAATATCAACCATGAATATAACAAATGAAAAAAAAAACTTAGAATTCGAACAAGGCATCAAAACTTGATTTTATTTATGGGTTAAAATTAATACATGATATTTTCAAAACTGATATTAAAAAAAATAAAGATGATAACATACAAATAGGGAGAGTGACAAAATTTGACAGTAGTATAATTCATGTCTTTAACTATGAAGACTGAAGAGAAAACTTACATTGAATTTGGTTTGATTGAAGGTGTTGATTGGCCCAAAAATATAAAGCTGGTTTATTTTATTTATTGTTAGTTAATATAATTTATTTATTTTTTTCAGAATCTTGAAGAGGCCATCTAAACATGTTCATACATTTTTTTACATTATTTTAATTTCTTTACTGGTGTATAATTATACAACTATAATTTCTTAAAAAAAAAAAAAAGGCTAGACGGTTTCATTTTTATTTATAAGAATGATGGGAATATAATGTTTATCAAAATATTACGAAAAATAAAGTTCCGCAAGACACACTACAAATGCGACAACTATATTATTTATTTTTATCGTATATCATATGTGTTAGTTTTATTTATTTATTTTTTTATTTATTTTTTATCATTTTAGAGCTATATATTACAATCTCATTAATTTATTCTTATTGTTTAGTAAAAATTCTCTCAATGTGTATTTCTAACAAAATAAGTTAAACTATGATTATCATAAATTCAATGCAAAATAAGTGTTGCCTATTGATCGATACATTAACAATTATCATCTTCATGTTACCTTAATATGACTTGAAAATATATAGAAAAAAAAAAAAAAATCAACATGAAATTATAGAGTAAAAAAAGTAATTTGATATATATAGACATTTGTACTTTTATTTTTCAACTTTTACATGGACATATATTGACACAATTTGTATACAAAATAAAAATTAGACGATTTAGTTCTTGAACATGATATTGAAATTTAGTTTCATTTATGGGTAAGAAATAGACTAATACTGTGGAGTTGTATTGTAAAAGAACAAAAAAAAAATTGGTAATAGAAAGAGTGAGAGGTCTCAAGTCCCAACCATAAAATATGAGAGAGAAATAGTGATGATATAAGTTTGACTCGGAAGAATGAATACGGCAATATATATTTATTATCCAATTATTTAGTTGATTTTTTTGTAATATATGAGACCTTTTATATTGATTTTAGTTCTATCTGATTAAATTGTTTGAGTCCAAAATAAATAACTTTTTTAATTTATTTATTTTTAGTCGATATCTTTTGTTTATTGAGACCGACAATTGAGGTCATTTAAATGGTTGTGAGTAAAGTGATTGCCCTTATTTTAGTTTATTTATTTATTCACAATTATGCAACTATAAATTTTTATGAATAAAAATGGCATAATGTGATAATTATTGTTAATTTTTTGTTATTATAACACATGTTTTGTTAAGAGTATGATGCGAGTATAATATCGCCACTAAATTGTTGCAATAAAGTTCAATAAGGTTACTGTAATGCATTAACTACCTTTTTCTTATCATATACCATAAATGTTAGTTTATCAAAATAATACACACTTATAAGTTATATAATGTATTTTGAATGTATCTATTTTAATATTTTAAGAAAATTCAATCAAGGTTCATTTCCAAAAATTATATTAAATTTTATTTCACATGATTGCACACAAAAACATAAATAATTAATATAACCATTACCGATTATTATACCTGTTTGTAAGTTTACAAAAGGTGATCTATCTTGCATGTCAGTTTGATCAGCATCAGACTTATTTTGCAAAATAAATAAATAAAGATTAATTACTTAAATTTATATAGATAATTAAAAAAAAGAGAGAACAAAATATGTAGACCTAATCTGAAACCTAATGCATGCAGTTCAAAATTGAATCATTTTTGTTTTCTTATTTTAAGTATTTAATTTATATTTTTTAATTTCAATTGGATCATATTTCTACATGTTTATTTCAATTATTTTATATCAGTTTACCTATATAACAGTAATAATATAATAGTAATAATATCTTTATTATCCAGGAAGTTTCAAGGAATGTCATTATTGTGAAAAATATTTTTCGTTAAAAAAAACATATGGTATTTTATATTCACAATCAGTAATATGTTATTTCTAGAGTCACCGATTCCAGCTGTTGATGATTATTATTTATAACAATGGTCATAATGAATACAGTTCATCGATTACTAAGATTATATTCAAGAGAATATCTAAATATATTAAATAAAATATTGTCATACTTTTTATTAACTCTATACATGTTTTATGTATATTAAATTAAATTCACCCAAATTATTTTTAACGTCAGGCCGCGCAACGCGCGGGTCGCGTACTAGTAGTTACGAATTTTTCAACATTGATTATGTATCGAGGAAAAGTAGTCTAATAAAATCTAATCAACCCTCAAAAGTCGAAACTCTTCAAATTTTATGATTCACACCATTTTCAAAAACTAGCAACGGTTTTTTTTTTTTTGGGTACATGGACTTTCCGATTTCCGGATCTACAGGGGAATCGAGTAATTTGGAATCGAGTTGGGTAGGACCACAAGGGTGACAAAACTCCCCCTCAAGAGTTTTAACACTGCTATAGCAACGATTTTATTTAAGTTATAACGAGACTTTCTATTTGTAGTAAGATAGGGCAGCACTTAATTTTCAAAGAACTTGAAAACGTTTTTGTCAATTGACTGCCCAAGTTCCAAAACCATGGTCTCGATGTCGGTTGTCAATTATGTGCGCATGTACAAATGTAAATAAAATTTAATACATTGTATGTGTGTTTATGTAACATTTAAAATTATAAGTTAAATAATGCGTAAATCACATTTTTTTATAAATTTTATCATTAGAAAAACGAATATAAATTAATTAAATAAAACAATCCTGAAATTATTATTTACAGGAATTGTGTACAAAATTTTAAAGTATTTGCTCTTATACCATTTAAAAAAAAAAAAAAAAATTGCTCAATGAGTTAAAAAAATAGTTTTAAATAAATTGTTTGAAAAAAGTTATATAATAAACTAACATTTAATGTGATTTTGTTATTAGTTACCAGTAGTAATTATATAATAAAATAAATAAAAAATCTAATTGCTTATTAATGAAAAAGTACCAGAAAAAACTTAAAGTTTGTTTATATGGTGTATATGATCAAGAGAAAAACT